GATGACAGTAAGTAATCTTCTTGCTATTTCTACTGACTTGTGAGCATGGGGTCTGAGATCGTCTCAATCTGGGTCTGCCTCATGGTGCTACCATGGGTTCTGCCAGAGTCACTGACTGGCACACACTAAATATGGCTTAGAATTCCATGGAGGCTGGAGTGCACAGGCTAATGCATTAAACATCACAGAACACGGGACACAATCAGAATTGTTTAGCTTCACATTTGAATTCTCTATCCCAAAGAAATGCAGAGGATCTACTAACAGAAATCTAGGATATTCATACTTTCCTAAATTTTATATCTATATCTAATCTATATCTATATCTGTATCTGTTTCTATATCTCTGTGGTGTAGGATTTGAGGAAAAAACCAGAAAACAGCAAGAAAATAAATGTTGAAAGCTAGAGATAATTACTTTTTTCTCCTCATTAATCTTTTTCTCAGCTACTGTGTTACAACTTTAGCATGTTCTTTTTGTTCCCATTTTTAAAAAATAGTAGGAAAGGATAAGACAGCATTATATATTTTATTATCTAATAGAAGAACTTAGTTACTATAGAAGTTATCTTCAGATGGCTGTTATTCTTAGGCAGACACCATTGAATAAGGAATAAAGGTTGTGTCTGTCAGCCACTCTGAGGACATTAGAAAGTCAGCTGTGTACACGGACTTAGCACCTCCTATCAGGTCGGTGACAGGTGGACAAGAACAGTACTCGGAAGGCTGGTGCTTGTCAAGTGAGGCTAGAACACCTTTCAGAGGGATTTAAATTGGATCAGGTTTTATCACTCATTGCTTTATTTTTGATGCATTGCCAAAGAGTTTTAATTAGAGATACATGAAAGGGAAATAACCTGAAAAAAATTGCTGATGGATGAACTCAACCTATAGGTGCAATGCATTTTTAGAAATTACTTTTGACATATAAACATACATTCTTGTCCCTTTCAGATGTATTTTCAAAAGGCCACCTTGCCCACAAAAGTTGATCTCGGAGAAGATGAGCTGATGGAGGCCTCCCGATACAGTGTCACAGTAGATAATTGCTTCGGTGGTAGGACGTCAGGAATTCCGCCCTTCCCCATGGAAAACTGCCCCCCATCACAGCTCCTAAAGTCCTAAATGTCTCCATAGGGAAAGGCATTCTGAAACTGAGAAGCCATGACTATCTTTACAAAGACAGCCTTTTACGCTCTGAGACAAAAAAATCAATGTAGATAACACATTAAAGTAGGAAAATACGTTTTAGGTCTTATATAATACTAATGGGGGGAATTTTCATTTTCTGTCCTCATTGACGAGATAAATCCACCTTTTTTAATGAGAAGTATATAAAATAATTTTGCTTTGTCATAGATAATATGTATAGTAAGAAACAGTGTTTTTCTTTTCCCTTTTTTTTCTGTGTCTGGTGTATTGGAGCTGGTGTGGGGCCACACCTGCTTCTCATCCTCATAATTGAGTTTTCATGCTCACGATCACCCTATCAATGTATCTTCTTCTTTTATGTTTTCACAACAGAGTGTAAGTCAATAAAGATACTATAAAATGCTACCCCTGCAGGGATGGTGGTTTGATTTCTAGAGCTGGAACGAAAGGTTTTATCTGCTCAACTCCTTTGACTCAGAGTTGTCAAAATGTCCAAGGCTGACAGAGATAAGGACAAATGAAATGTTTAAGATGAAATAAGCTTCTGTCATCCTTGGTTTTGCTTTAAATCTGTCCCGATGGAGTCAGTGTAGAGACACAGCATCGGCCATGGATAGCTTCGTCGAGGTTTACGTGAACTCTTCTGGGTCACTAGCACATGAAGAACTACAGTGCTCAGCCCTGGATGCGTCCATCTGCTCCTTGCTCCTTCAGTGTAATCCTCCTTTAATTTGTTCATGGCTTCAGTTAAAAAATATTGACCCCTCGGATACTTGTTCTTCTCTTTTTCCCCCCCCAAGTCTCTATTCACTCTTTTTCTAATTATCTCCAGCAGAATAGACACTGAATTAGTAGACTATCCACCAAATCCTTAGGTTCATAGAAAAATTAAGACCCTACAAGTTTTAGCCTCACTAATGGTGAACTGAATCTGTGGTCAGAAAGTCATTATTCTGACTCCTTCTTGCTATCCAGTGCCAGAAATTCCACTCTCTAATTTGTACATCTTTGATTTGAGGAGATGAAACTTAGTACCTATCAGATCCACCAAATGAAGTGGGGCTAGGGCACCCCGTGCACCAGAGCTGACTTGAGTCCTTTCTTGTGAGGAGGTAACAACTCAGAAAGACCTCAGCTGAATTTCATACTTATCCATTTTATCAGTAATGAGGCTTTCGACAAGCAATAAAACATCTTCTTGCCTTAGTTTTTAAATATGTGAAATGAGAATAGGAACTGATGAAATAATTTTGATGATTTATTAATCTGGGGTAATATAAGTAAAGAGGCTGTCACAGTCTTGATATAGGATAGATGCTTAATTAATGCATGCCTTTCCCCCTTGTTGAACTGCATTCTCTATGAAGATTAGATTTATGGTTTCTGTTCCTCTTGTGGCTTCCCACAGTACATTATAATGATCTACGTAGAGCAGTTAATGTTTATGGAATGATACTATCTGATTAATATGAAGTTTAGTAAACGAAGGTAAGCGGTCGGCTGGCCTCAGCCACCATGGACTTGGCAGTTGTGTATCTTTCAAAACAGAAGAACCTGGGGGAAGCCTGATTTCTAGTGCAGGCATGAACACCAATGTGTGATTAAAGTTAAGAGCCAACAAGGGAATCCAAGGGTTTTGTTTTATGCTGAGCTTGTGCTATGATTTGATCCTTGTTGGAGTCAGGACAAGGGCAGCACAAGTGAAACACTGAAAGAATTTATTAACTGAGGACCTTTAGTCTATAGATTTATGGTGAGATAGATGCAACTTGATTTATAGAGGAAAACTGCACACATCCCTTCAGTGGCATTAAGGTACAGGTATAGGACACCCAGAGTCCCTCAGGGAAGACTGCTCAGTTTCTGAGCCAGTTGTCAAATAATGTAAATCATGGAGACCATGTTGTGTCCTACTCAAAGGTATAAATTAAACAAGCACAATTAGAGATAAGAAATAAGCAGCATTACATGTGAGAATAGAGGTCATCTCAAATGTGTGGGACTCAGGGGTCATTATAGTTGGTGTTTGGTGTAGTGTAGAGCCCTGTATGTTTCAGGTATCTCTACTCAAGGTGGCCCAGGAAGGGAGTTGAGCCCTTCTCTAGGTTTTATTTTGACTGATTAATAATACAGACTTGGAGGTATGAAGCAGGCAGAAGCCATTTTGTTTTGTTTTGTTAAAATGACTAATATTTTCAATGCCATGAGAATGTGATCTCTGATAGCTAAAGGATGCCTTCCCACAGGTGGCTGATCCTTAAAGTAAGAATCTAAGAATCGCTTTTTTAAGGGAGGTCTTGCATTAACCCTAGACCAAGAAAACCCAAACACAGCAGTTATGGCTATTAAAAATACTTGCCCAGCCCTGCAATATTCTAAGGAAGTTTGGCTCCCTCTTGTGGCCTAAAACCATGTATCACTTTGTTCTGGCCTCCTTGGCTGGCTGTGCTAAGGGGAGCCAGTCTTGAGCCAACAGTACCTTGAGCTTGTAACCTTTTCATTTCAAAGGCATAGCCCTGGCAAAACTATGGGAGAGATATACCTGTCTTTGTTACCCATCATGCTCCCTAACTTGTTCTTCTTTTGTTGAAAGGGTGATAGGGTATCTAACTCACATTCTGGAAATCCAATGGCTTCATGCTATCTTCCTAACAAAGATTCTTTATTATTTTACTTACTCCAAGGCGTAAGTGAATAATTTCTTCCTAAAATGTTATCATGCAATAAGATTGGTTTTATTTAAAAATTAATCAAAAGAATTGAATTAGTTAATTGAATTTGGTGTATTAAAGAATGGAACATAAAATATGAGATCCATGGAAGGTAGGTATGGCCTTTGGAAGTGATACATTGTGAGGGCCACAGATATAAAACTCAGACTAAAGAGATTTATCTAGTTCTCAGTCACTTTTCTTTAGTTCACTTTTCTTTAAAAAAATTATTAGTTTCTCTCATTTGAAAATAGAGAGGCTTCATATAAAGACAAAATATTACTTGGATTTCTGACTAAGTCTTAGACAAAATCAGGAGATTTGACTAAAGAGAGTCCATGTTTCCTCAACAGTCAGTGGAAGCTAGAGAAGAGCCAATCTTTTTAGAGCAAGACATATGTGCCGTATCCCCACAGACTCCACCACTCCCTACAGTCTCATGGATTATCCATTTTCTTCGGTTTATAACTGCTTGACTCATGTAAGATTGAGTTTGTGATTCTGTAGGCTTGTAGCACGTAAGGTTCGCTTATATCTTAATTATGATGGGGCTTTGTGCCCTAGTTTCACAGTACTTTTTAAAAAAAATTGAATTAATAGCCCAGGGACCCATGTTTAGCCAGGATTTGGAGCGGAGGGCCAAAGAGCTACTGTCTTCACAAGGCAGGCTGACGGGGAAATATCAGGCCATGAAGCTGTAAACACTCAGGAATATGCCACAGTATAGATATATTTTGACTTAATACAGAGTAACAAGAATGTCAGAAACTACACTGGAGAGAAAATGTGGATTTATCTGTGCTTCAGCTATTTCTCTGAGTGTTCGTTTATTTTTATGTGTTTATCGATACCATTTGATACATGCAACTTATTACATTTTGATTATGTCTGACCTCTTGAACTCCTACGCTGTTATCTTCGGTAGATAGATTCCCTGCTCTGCTTCTTTTCCATTTACTTCTTTCCTCTCCTCTTCTTATCCTTCCCATTCCCATAAAAAAAAAACACATCAAAATACTACATGTTTTAGAGCTGTAGGTATTCAAATAAAATTTTCATCTCTTTGCTAACTGCTGCTTTTTTCTTTTGTTGGATAAGGATGGAAACGTGTGAAACTCTTGTTCTTTCTCTTTCTAGGATTTAGAATGAGACAGCGCCATGTCCTCATGGAATCCACAGGGCCTGCAGGACATTGCCCTCATTTGGTTGAATTTGTTCCCTGTGAGGATCCAATGTGTTACCAATGGCTGACTTCTGAAGGGATCTGTATTCCTGATCATGGAAAGTGTGGGTTGGGACGTCGCATCCTGAAGGCTGTCTGCCAGAATGACAGAGGTAAGATGCAAATAAACAAGTGTTTTCTAAGTGCTATCTGAAAAATAAAAGAACATCTTTGATTCTGCCTAAATGCAATACAGGGAATCTGGAGATTTCTCTGAAGGTTTTAATTTATCAAGGCATAGAATATAGAAATTGTCTGGATAGTCTTCAACTTAATCACCACAAAACAAGTTTTATATGCTTTTTTGGAGATTGCTATGTAACATGCTTTTATAGATTAACAGATAGTACTTTGCAAAAATTTTAGGGCTACCACTCCTGAAAGAAATACTAAACTACATCTTTTCACTTACATAGCATTAGCCTAGAATCAATTCTAGACATATGCTAGTTATATTTCTAAAGAACCATTTTTAAATATAAGTTGTCAAGATTTACAAAACTATTGGCAATGGTGGCTTTCCTTTATCGCCAAGATTCTAGTGCAATAGTTATTTGAAGTAAAATGTGATTTAGGAAATACGTAAGTCACATGGAAATTAGAAAAGTGACATTTTAAAAAACCTTTATCCTACAGTAAAAGAAATTCAGTCTCTTAGAACAATATCGAGTATGTCTCTTAATCAGCTCTGCCATGAGAAGTGCCATGTATAATGCCCTTGGTGTGTGGAATAAAATGTTTGGACTTATGGAATGAAGAAATCCGTAGGACAGAAGGACATTACAGAGTGGATTCAGAATGGAGATTAACATCTACACAGGCTTGACATTCGGCAATGCATTTCCCTGTTTCCTTTCCTGCTCCCAACCCCTTCTCCTCTCTTTCTTTCTCTTCCTCTCCTTCCTTTTCTCCCTCCCTCCCTCCCAACCTCCCTCCATCCATCCCTGTCTTTCCTCCTTTCCTTCTCTTTTCTCCTTCACTTTCTTTTTTCCTTACTCTTTTTTCCTTCCTCTTTCTCTCTCTCAGTCCTTCCTTTCTTCTTTTTTTAATCACTGCTGTAATTAAACAAATATGCATTTTATTAAGTGATATAATTGGTAATTTCTGAGACCAGGTTGTTAATTAAATAGAGGACAACAACAAATTATATTAGCTCAGTCCTTTTTGACTAAATAGTTAAAACAATAGTGGCTTCTAATTTTACCAAATAATTTTTGAAATGTGGGAAATATGTGCAGTTGGTTAACAGAGGCAAATCAGATCACTTTTGTATTGCTTTCTCTTGAATTCAGAAAGAGTAATGTAGAGATGTATAACCTGGGCTTAAAACTGGGGCTCCAGAGTCAGACAGGTTGAAATTTCAATTCTATTCATCTGCTAGATGATTTGGGGGAAAATGTTTAATTGTGGAGGCATCCTCTCATTCATCTGAAGAGCGGGGATAACAAAACCTGCTACTCATGCTCCGAATGTGAAAGTTAAATTAGTTATACAAAAGTGACTAGTGAAATGCTTGGCACATAATCATTCAAAATAAGCTATAAGCATATTTTACTTGTAATGCATATTTATTACTGTCCTTTGTCCTGAGAGAATAGTGCAAAAAGCATTCTTTTATAAATGAAAATAATAATGAGATTTAGAATAACCATACTTCTTTCTCCCAACCTCCAGCTGTGAAAACACGAAAATCATTTGTTTGGTTGAGACACAATAACGAACGACTATCATGCTTTGTCATTTCATAACAGGTGTTAAAGGATTTTCAATGGTATATAATGTCCATAATGATCGGGACTTCTTTCACATTTCATATTGTGCCTTTTACAGTATTACAGAATGTGATATTCATATTTAAAATTAGAAATATATATTGGGTCTCTGTCACAGTTTTTGGCACAGAGATCCTAAAATCCTTGGAATTTCCTGACTAATGAGAGCAATAGGAACATCTTTTGTCATTAAATTTGGTCTCCTATCCTCATTTCCTGAAATTGCTTTCCTAAAGATGAAATGAATATCATCTAATTCATAATAAGCACCTTTCCACCACAACTAGGTTTTTGCTAATGAATTGACTTTTGGAAAACACCTAAGAATGGGGACTGGTTGCCAGAGGAGTCAACCACTGAGAGAGGCTGGAACTTTCAGTTCTACCCCCTAATTTTCAGGGAGGGGAATGGGGTTGGAAGTTGAATCAATTACCAATGGTCAATATTTAATTAATCATACCTATGTAATAAAAACTCAATGAAAACCCAACTAAGATGGGGTTTGAAGAGATTCCTAGTTGGTGAACATGTAGAAATTTGGGGGGAGAGTGGCAAATGGAAGCTCCACACCCTTTCCCATACCTTGCCCTATGCATCTCTTCCATCTGGCTGTTCCTGGGTTATATTCTGTCATAACAAACCAGAAACCTAATGAGTAAAACAGGTTTTCTGAGTTCTGTGAGCTTCTCTAGCAAACTAATGGAACCCAAGGAAGGGGTCTTGGGAACCTCTGATTTATAGCCACTTGGTGAGAAGCCCAGGTAACAACAGGGGCTTGTGATCGGTGTCTGTGGTGGAAGTATTCTTATGGGACTGATCCCTTTACATGCAAAATCTGATGCTATCTTCAGGTAGCTAGTGTCAGAATTGAGTTGAATGGTAAGACAATCATCTAGTGTTGGAGAATTACTTGGTGTTGTATGAGAAACCCCCATCCTGATACACACACCCACACTTCAAAATTGGGTGCAGAACCCTTTTGACAGAGGTATTGTTTTTACCATTCTTTAGCAGTTCTAGAGTTTTATCGCTGTTTCCTAGGAAATGACTAATTTTCAGTGTTGATTTCAGTTTCTATGGGGAGAAATAGGAATCACTGCTGGATCATATCAGTTTCATGAATTCATGTGGGTTTTAAATACCCAAATGACACCATCGTTTATGGAGCAACAGCCATGGTCATGGTTATGAGAACATGCTGGCCTCCTGATAGCTGAAGTAATCTTTTGTTCAGTGAGAAACTGAAAATACGGTCTGGTTACACTTCCCACAGTTTAGCTTCTATGAGATTTGGGATGAGTGATGATAGAAGGTCTGCAGAGAAGTGTTTCTGTTTGACTCTGCACATACTTTTATAGTCTTTCCATAGCTACAGGACTTGACAGAGCTGTTGATACTCATTTAAATGCTTGAAGCAAACCCTAGCTGGTGTGGCTCAGTGGTGTGAGCTCTGGCCTGCAAACCAAAGGGTCGCCGGTTCCATTCCCAGTGTAGGGCATGTGCCCGGGCTGCATGGCAGGTCCCCAGCAGGGGGGGGGCACAAAAATGCATCTGCACATTGATGTTTCTCTCCCTCTCTTTCTCCCTCCCTTCCCCCTCTCTAAAAATAAATAAATAAAATCTTTAAAAACCAAACAAATGAACATTTAAAAAAATTCTTGGAGAGAAAAAGGGTTAATATATATATTTAATAAGTCTCCTGTGATTATTTTTCTTATAACATTTGGTAGTTTTTATCACTCTTGAATTTAATTGTTTCAAAAGATTTTTCCTTCAGAGTTATTCAGAGCTAATAAATGGATAAGACCAAAAGAAACATTAGATCGAGTCAGACTTGAGGCTTGTTATCATTGGCAAGGTAACTTGCTTTCGTCCCTTATCCTTAGGCTTGTGCATATTGACTCACTCCAGGTATCCCATATACCAAAAGAACAGTCAACCTCCTTTCAAAACATTTATATCCCATTCAGATTGTGGAGCAAAGAGATTGCTGTATAGCTGTGATGGAGATTCTGTAGGACGTTTTTCAGGTTTCGAGGTTATTTTTTGTTTCATTTTTGGCATTACTTGTCCACTAGGCAGACATATTTTCCTTCACAGAAGGTCATTCAGACTATTAACTTGAAAATTTCAGAAATCACAATCTATGTCACATAGAAGCCAGGAAGTAACTGATATACCTAAGACTTGTGGATTAGCTCAAGAATGTGATCTGCTTTGGACTACCTAAGACCCAAATAGCCATCTGTGGATTTCTACAGTTATCTCTGTAGATATACTTTAATCCATTTGCTACTTTCATTTATTTCTGATATTATCCAATCAGTCTAAATGAAGTTCCTATTTCTCACTAAGGCTGTGATCGTGACAGTTTGTTAGTCAGTGATATTTATTTTCAGGAAGAAAATTATATAATAATTACATGAATGAATATTCTGATTTGAAATCTAGTTTCCAATACTTGGTGGATCAGCTTTGATTTCTCACTATGTACAACATCTTATCATTAGTATGGGTACATCTTCCCAGAGCAAATGGGAAAATCCCCATAATGCCAGTGGGCAGAAATGGCATTCTAGTGGTTGACAAGTGACCACTACTTATCATCTTTCATTAATGCAAAATGGGTAATAGAACATGGTTATTGGATAAACACCAGACTGCCTGCTGGAGCAGTCAGACCCTGATACCACATTCTTTGCCCCATAATTTGTTAAATAAGCTGTCTTGAAAAAACAAGTGTCTACATATTTCACCAAATATAAAGTATATTTGTATACTTTACAGCATACAGTATACAAAAAGTATAAAGTAAAATATCAAGTATAAAGTCTTCACTTGCACACAAAAAATACACATACTGGTGAAGAGTATAATACATCCAGAAGAATGTTCGCATTTTAACAGGTTCACGGAGCTGAGTTTTGTGTGGCTGCAATGTCCCCTCACATATGTTTCTTATTTCTCACAATTGCTCCAGAACTTCCTAGTGCAAATATTTTTCTTATTTGCACAGAAAGCTTGAGGAATGACCATGAGGAATGACTTCTTGTCATTAAGGTGATGTAGCTTTTATTTCAGAAGCATTTTTCTATGGATACTAGTTTTACATCGTTAACCTTGAACAATCCAAAAATGTGACCTTTAAATCTTGACTAAAATGGCATGTGCTTATAAGCTCTAATACAATAAGAACCTTTTAAAGAAAGTTCTTTTAAAGAACTTTCATTGTCGTGACATGCATGCTAGAATAATTATTTATCTGAGTTAGATTAAATTTTTGATTAACATAGATACATCTATGATTAGTAAGAGTCAGAAATTTTTTGTTTTGCTTGTTT